TGAAGGAAGATCCCTGAGCTGTAACCTGAGCCAGGAGGGGGGTTGGGAGAAGTGACACCTGCCCAGGAGACTGAACAAAGGAGAGGAGGAGCTGGGGGGAGGGGGAAGAGAGGAGCTGCAGGAGGAGTTTTGGTTTGGTTTCAGTTTGGGCTGAGTGGTGCAACGCAGGGAACCCCAAGCTGGGGTCTAAGCTCCCTGAACCCCCCAGAAGGACTTGATTGAGGGGTTCTAGTTGTACCTACATGCTCTGCTTGGGACTGTGTTCCTGCCATCTAATAAACCTTCTGGGTTACTGGCTGGCTGAGAGTCACGGTGAATCTCAGGAAAGGGGGTGCAGGGTCCTGACTCCCCCCACCCCACGCCCCGCATACACATGCTCTCTCCAAGCAGAAGCATCAAGATCAGGTGTCCCCTGCTCCCTGTGTCCCCCCACACTCTGCTGGGAGCAGCAGGCCCTGGCGCCCCCTGCTGGAGACAGCGTCACCCTTCCCTACCGGCGCTGCCCTCGGGGCCCTTGCCCCCGTCTTTGCTCTGCATCTGCATCTGTAGCCAGTCCCAGCAGGTCTCCGAGTAGGAGCGGATCTGCTCCAGCACATGCAGCACCCGCATCTCCTTCTTGGCCTGGCCCTCATCGGGCTGCGAGAAGATGATGTTGTGCAGGGCGGCGTTGGCCCGCATGCGGGAGTCCTTGCCGCTGCCGGGGCTCTGGGGGCCTCCCGGCTCCCTGTCCGTGTCGTGCAGGATCTGGATGAGGAGTGGGAGGCAGCCGGACTTGCGCATGGCCAGGCAGCTCTCCTGCGAGCTGGACATGGCCAGCAGGGTGCGGGACATGTCGTCCTTGTCCCGGGTGGCCAGCATGGACAGGAGCCAGAAGACCACTTCCACCTGCAGAGCACAAGCACCCAGTGGGTTACCCTGCACCCCACCCTGGCCAGACCCCCTTGCACAAATCCTGCTGCACTGGACCCTCTAGTGCAGAGGTCCCCAAACTGTGGGGAGCGGAGGAACGTTTGGGGGGGGGCACAGCAGGTGTCCAGGCCAGCCCCCACGGGGGGCAGGGAGGGAGTGCCACCCAGCTCCGCTCCCGGCCCTGCCCCCTTACTCAACTCCAGGGAGGGGGTGTGTGGACGGGGTAAGAGGGCCACAAGGTAAAAAGTTTGGGGACCACTGGGGTCTATTCAATGGTGGGCAAAGTGAAACAGATAAGAGACAGGTCAATTTCACTCAGCAGCTGCCAGCCACCTCTGACAAGCCTGGGGCAGGGGCTAATCCTTCAGGTGTGGGGAACTGGGGCACAGAGGGGAGGCTACCTGACTCGCCCAAGATCACACAACGAATGTCCTCGAACCTTCTCAGCACCTTGGGCCTGATCCTCCTCTAACTCACCTCGGTGGAAATCACGAGCGACCCCACTAAAGTCGGTGGGTTTACACTGGTGTACAAGTGACGCAGGAACAGAATCAGGCTCCCTGCTTGCTTGGGGACCTAAATCTCAAGCCCTTTCCTGGTGCAATTAAACCAAGAAGCAACATGAGACCCCCCCCTTCCACCCCGAGCGGTGCAGGGGGGAAACGTCGGGGTCAGAGTGCACAATCTGAATAGACGTGTGTAGGAACTGGGTAGCATCCCTTGAAATAGATCGTGTGCCTGCTGCTGGTGCTCACTGTCATCTGTGTTCCTGAAGCCACCAGACCCCCGGCAGAGCAGCAAGGTGTGAATGCAGCTAAGCCTGGCGAGTTGTACCTAGTCAGCACACGTAGGTATCTGGACCCTGCTGTGCCTGTGGGGTTCCTTCATTTTACATTTCTGGTGTAAAGAGCCAAAGACGCAACAATAGACCAAGGGCAGGAGGGGAAACTGAGGCACGGCGCGGGGAGGTGACTCGCCCATGGTCACCCAGCAGGTGAGCAGCAGAGCTGGCAGCAGAAGCGCTAGGCCCAATGCCCTGTCCGCTACGCAAAACTCGATTTGTTCATCTCCAGCGAGCGTCTGCGTTTCCTCCATCAGATGCCCGAGGGATGGGGATTCTCGTTACCTTATTGTTGCTGAGGTGGCTCCCTCCCTCCTCGGGATGCGTTGGGATGTCCAGGCTCCTGCCCCCTTCCATGCCAGACAGCTTCCCACACAGCTACAAGAACAGAGAGAGGGGATGTGTAAGAACCCGTGAGCTGTACAGAGCACATCCCAGCAGCTGCAGTGTTGGGCTGGCTGGCTCTGACTAGCCCCCTGCCCTGTGAGGACCCAGCCGGCTTAACTTCATGCAAGCAGCCTCCTCCGTTCATCCCGAGCCACTGGGAGGCCGGGCAGCAGCCGTGGTGTATGGATGGGTACAGGGGACTCCGTTCACGGAGGACTGGAAAATGCAGAGTGCTGTGATTTTATTCTCCTCTCCCGGTCTGCTTGTCCCGTCTCTCTGTCTGTCTCCTGCATCGGGCACACACAGAGCCCAGATCAGGGGTGAGTCTTGGTGCGATTTGTAAATTACACCCCAGTTAATTCAACTCAGCGGGCCAGACTCAGAGGGAGCGTAAGGTGGATGACATAAACAGAGCCTGCCAGAGCTAACCACAGGAGTCTCTGCAGCTGGGGCAGTGACAGACTCACATCCCCTGTGGATCGGACATGGAGGGGGACCCGCGACGCACTGATCAGTGGGTTCCACACCTTAAAGGTCAGCATAGGGCGTGAGCGGGACTTGGACGCTGGAGGCATGTGTCACACCAGTTTTCATGCCCTTAGATACACACGAGACCCAGTTCTGCTCCGTGAGAGGCCAGCAGCAAAAAAACATTTCATCTGAAGAGGCCAATTCCCCCCCACCCCCAATACTACCCCATCGGCGACTCGTTCCAGGCAAGCAAACTCTCCAGAAATTGCTAAGGGACCCTGGCTCTGTCCAGACCTGCTCTCAGATCCAAATGTGCTCCAGAAAGACACCCAGCAAAGCGCCAGTCGCCTTCCAGGGGGCAGAGGGGCCCAGATAGGCCCCAATGCAGCAGAGACTGGGAGGGGAGGAGGCATACATGGGACCCCTCGGCGTCACATAATTGGGCTCAGCAATGGAGAGAAGTTTGGGAGTAGGCTGTGCTCACTGGGACCTCGATTCAGCAAAGCACTTAAGCACTCACTTAAAATCCCATTGGCTTCCATGGGACTTGGGTGCTTTCTGAACCAGGGCCTGCAGCCCCTGTTCTAGCCCTGGGGCAGCACCCAGCAAGGGCAAAACTCCTATTGACTTCAATGGGAGCAGAATTGCGCCCTCTACAAGCCCTGGAGAGAGACCCTGCAGCTCAGTCCCGAGCCGGCTCCCTTCGCCAGCGCTAAACAGAGGGATACTGAACTGGAGGTGTCAGTGAACGGGTTGCAGGATTGCCACGTGAGTGTGTAATATGCAACATGGATTTTCCTATGAGGCCAATGCAAGCTTCAGCGTCTTCGCTGCACAGGGTTTTGCTAGGCCTTGCATGTAGGGTGGCCAGTTTTGGTTGGACGTATTCCTGGAGGTTTCATCACACGACATCTTAAACGAAAGATTATTCTTTAATTTCTGGAGACTCCTGGGAGGCCGGCAACCCTCCTTGCACAGTGGAGGAAATGACCTCTGGGTCCATGTAGAAGAGCCAATCCATCTCTCTACTACCATCCTTAGCGACGCATCTCCCACTCTGTCCTTGCTCCTTAATAATCCGCCCATATTAAATTATTGTAAACCCTCTCTCTCGAAGTACTTAGACAGCCCCAATCCCGTAGTATCGGAGCGCCTCAAAGCCATGCCATGAGACAGAGCAGCAATACTGTCTCCATTGCACAGGTGGGAAACTGAGGCACAGAGATGCTAAGTGTCTTGCCCAAGGTCACACACAGAGTTTGTGGCAGAGGAGGGAATTGAACCCAGCTTTCCTGAGTCGTAGGGCAAAGGGTCTAGGCACAGAACTATCCTTCCTTGCTATCGACCGGCCTTATTGCAGATGTATGTAAAAAAATATGTATTGCCCAGGGATTCAAGGCCTCAGGACCGAGCGCTATGGCTCATTTCTCTTTCCAGGACAAATCCTCTTTTTAGCCAACAGTGCGATAATTGTCTTACTGAATCTAAACCGCTCCATCTTCCCAGGGCTTAGCTCAAAGCCCCGCGGGCTCCGGCTTTGCATGGGGTTAGGGGAGAAATTCACAGCCAGTTCTGCTATCGATTTCTTGGTGCAGAGAAAGCTCGGGGGGGAAATAATTTGTCTCTGTACTCACTTAATCTCTGTCCCAGAAGGCAGGAAAGAGAGCACCAGTGACTGTTGGGAGCCCAGAGTAGGAATCACGTGATCTCTGGCTTTTTAAATCCAGTTCAGATGTTAATGAAACCCTAAGGCGGAATTCTGATCCCACTGAAGTCAATGGCTAAACTCCTATTCATTTTAATAGGGCCAGGATTTCATATATGGCCTCTGGGCTTAAAAACTGTTCAGAGGCTAGTTAAACTCTGGGCACTTAACCCTTAGAAAAATGCTACAGTATTATGCAGTAATTATCCCAAACACTACAGCTCCCTGCCATGTTACTGAAGGATTGTACAATGCCCTAGTATTTTTAATAACATTGTAAGTTTCTTATATTGTAGATTTTGGTTTAAAAATACTATTCTTATTATAAAACTGTGCGGGGTGTTAAGTAATACCGCAATATCTTCAAAACAATATTGTAGTATTATTTCCAAGCTCTACAGTATTGTTCTTTATAATCCTCTAGTATTTTTAATACAAAAGCAATAACTTTTATTGTAGAGCTGCAAGTATTTTTTCTTTAACAATTATATAGTATTTTTCTTATTACGTAATATATTTAATAAAACCATGGCATTTCCCCTTATAATGCTGAAGTATTTTTAAACGGCTGTACTATTTAATAATACTGTAGTATTTTTTTTAAATGCTGCAGGTATTTTTCTTATAATTTAGCATTTTTAATAAAAACTAACGTTTTTTCTTTTAATATGATAATTTTTAAATGTACACTATTATCAAAAATACTATGTAGTTGATTTTATTCATAAAATCATGGTATTTTCCTTATAACCCTGTAGCATTTTTAATTTAGTATTGTTTAGTATTTTGGGGGAAATAATGCTGTAGCATTTCATTATTGCTGTAGTATTTTAAAAACAACACGGCAGTATTTTAATATTACTGAATCTTTTAAAAGACGTGATAGTATTTTTACTATTGTAAAACATTATAATTTGAATATTAATGTAGGTTTTAAATAATACTCTCGTACTTTTATATTACTGGAGTATTTAGAGATTTCAAATAATGCTGTGGTAGTTTTATACAGTTCTGGCAGGATATTCACCTTTGTTGTGGACTGTGTTAGATCTGTGGGGTCACTAACACACATCCAGCCTGGGCAGAAGTGGGATTAATTCAGGGGTCTTGGCCACATCTGTCCTGTCCCCCCGCAAACCCCACCCGCTCCTGACTCCCAGCATGGGGGTTGGCTCAGCCGCTCTGAGCTGATGACCCCGCGGCAGCTCTGCAGAATCCAACGCTGGGCCTGCCAGCATCTCCCCGCATGGCCTACTTCTCGTCGCCATGGCAACTGCCCATTTCATGGTGCCCGAGACACACAAAGGCCGGGCCCTCCCGCTCAGTGGGGCGGGGAGGCCTCGGAGACCTGCCTGCCTCTAGCGCAGAGATGGGCAAACTACAGCCCGCGGGCTATATCTGGGCCACACAGTCAGGGGCGGGGGTCCGGGGGCAGTCAGGGGACAGGGAACAGGGGGGCATGGATGGGGCAGG